TCACCCCCTCCCTTGATTAGATTGGGGTTTATTACCATACTGCTGATATATTGCTGGAGTTTAAAACACTGCTAGTCTTGTTAGAAGGCTTAACGTCACACTGATTTACAACATTCATCTCATTTTGCTTTCAAAGCTCATCCTATGATCTGAGGAGTACAAGTGAGGACTATTTGTTGTACAAGGAAAAAAGGAAGCTGCCAGGGTCATAAATGAGTATGCTACAGAGATTAAATGTGAGTTACGAGACTGACTTTGTATACTGTTACATGCAATCCGATGAGTGCAAGCTGTTTCGACTATGCTGCTGAGAATTCAAATGTCAAAGCTGTTGGATGTACCCTACATTTGAGTCTAAACGGCTGTCTTATGCACATTTAAAGCCAGTGAGAATGCTAAAAATGCTATAATGTTAAAAATGAAGAGTGCATATTTATTGACACTGAACATGTCGTTCGAGAAGCATTTCCCAGATGTCTGCTGCATCAGAAGTTGCGTGAATCCACTGAAGAGTTTCACCCTCTCGGATGATTTTGAGTCTGTTTGCTACTTCTTCCCGTCCCCTCCTTTCACCTTACTCTGTTCATTCCTTCTTGCACTCATTTCAAAAGTCAAAATGATTGTTATAAAGTATGTTATACCCGGAGTTGGCTGACTTACAGCTGTTGGCGCAGCTTACTGACTGGTATGTTTCACAATAAAGAAAGAGATTTGACCTCTGATGTGTGGCACTGATATCTGCTGGGGGCAGACTGGGAGGGCTGTCAGTTTATACTTTGAACTGGCTTCCTTTTATGGGCTAACGTTTCACGGCCGCCCTTTAGAGTTCCAGTAAAAACGGCCGTGCGTATCAACGCTCTCACCCTGCAGTTTGTCTGAAGCCTCCTGGCTCACGCTTGGACAGAATGAAGCGTTAAACTTTAGAAACATTAACTTGGCTGTTAAGCAAAAACAAAAAATAGGAAAACAGATCATGTTGCATAATCACTAATGACCCCGCACAAAGAGCGCTCTGTATTGCACAACTGCACCGGTCACTTGTATTATTAAAACCTTACCCAAGAATTATTTTTCTATAGCAGCTTGATCCAGAGCAGGAATCTAAACATACAACACTGCTGAAGGAAGGAGGTTATGTAATTCTTAGATTTTATCAAGAAGAAAGTCTTCATGGAGGGTGTTTGGCCTGATGCTGTTTTGCATTGTGCCGTCCAGCACAATGCAGAAAGGAAAGGATGTCAACAATAAGAGGTTTGAAAAAAAACCTGTCTGCTAGGAGGCTTTATTGTGTTTCCAGCTTGCTGTAAAACAGGTCTGTGTGGCCTGCGGCACAATGACACAGCAAGTTTTTCTGCACTGTCATCATACAGAAAGGGCTGTGTATTAAGCAAAGCGCGAGTGATACTCGAGTGCACGACTTTTTGTGAATCATCTCTAAACACTGACCTTTCTTGACACCTTCAAACTCTGTGGGCCTCTTCCAGACTTTATGAAGGCCCGGGGAGCCTGGAGCCAGGTCTGAAACTGTACGGAGAAACAATCTACTCTGCTATAAGAGGATTACAAACTGATTAGAGGCATAACATTTGCATGGTGTGACAAACAGAAAGGCCCGGAGAAATGTGTGAGGTGTATTTTGGTTGTTTCTTTAGTCAAGTCATTGTCTGTCAGTGACAGCTGACTGATCAAAATCAAACAACCATATAAGGAAATGAAGACCTAGAAAAGAGGGCCACAATGGTGCTCTATCGTTACAGAACGAGTCATGTGAAGTCCTTTAATTACTTTAATAATTAATATATTATTGCCAGGTTTAATTAAAAGTGATCCCGGAGCAAAGTGAACCATTTAACGTCGCTTTCTTCTATTTTTTTTTT